TTGGATGAAGGCAAAGAGGTGGGGTCCCTACGCTCCCATAGGCGCCCAGCACATCTACATCTGAATGGGAAGCCCTGCAGTCCGCCGGGCGTCGACACCTGCTGGAGAAGGGGACCTCAAAGTAAGGAGCTTCGGTTACCGTCGGCTAATTAATTTGAACAATAAAGTCCACTCCAGTGTCCTCAACACTCCGAACGCATTGTACCCACCCTACCCCCAAACACACACACACACACACACACACACACACACACACACACACACACAGGCAGTGTCTACACGGGTAAAAGGAAATATACTTCTCAAATCGGCAATTCGTTTCAGGAATCGAAGGGATGGGTTTAAATATTTTGCTGCCCCACTGAAGAATTCGTTTTCTCCAGTCCCAAGATTCAGATTCGTGAAACTCCAATTCCAAAGATATTTTATGCCTGCGTAGACAAAAATGACTCAGGGTGAACCAACCCTGAGGCAATTTCCAGTTTCCAGAGAAACTGAGCACAGACCTCCAAGACGCTGGCTTCGGATGTTGAAGCTTACAGGACTCCAGCAGCCAAGACTGAGAGCATCCTTCCTAGTGGTACACACGCGCCAAGTCTGATGCGGGGTTTCTCGATCCCTAGTGTCTAAGAAAAAGTTGGCGGGGATAGCGGGATAGTGAAGATTCCGACCTACGGAGTTTCTTCAGAACCTCAAATTTTAGATAGACGAGAAGGGTAGTGAACACGGAGGAAAGTTTACCCGGAGGAATATTCAGTCGAAGAAGAAAAGTCGAGCAGCGATTGAGAGCCATTTCTACTTGAGTCCGCGTGGAGCGAAAAGATCACGCTCGGCAGGGACCCAGGACATAGAGCTCAGAGTCCAATGAGGGTGGGAAACAACCCTGAGGATATTGCGTCGACGCCAGCAGCAGAGCGCAGGGCGGAAGCCTTTCTTCCCTCTCCGACCCGAGCCTCTCAGGTCTAGCGAGGCTGCGGGGATGTTGCAGCGCCGAACGGGTTGGAAGGAGGCGGTGCCCGCTCCGCCCCACCGCGCGACGCGCCCTCCAGCCCGCGGAAATATTCGTTCTCAAAACCAGAGCCCGGAATCTCTGTCTTCCCTATAGAGCTCTCCATCGGTGCGCATCTATGCCAACCTTTCAAAAAAAAATCAGGAGTGCTCGCTCCCAAAATCCAATCATTTGTTCTCAAACACTCTGATATTTGAAAGGACTGAATTCTCCCACCCACCCTTGCCCACCTTTAAGTGTCTATCTTTCCAGAAACCTCACGGTACCAGTCCTAGGGACAAGTGTGGGCTGGGTCTCACCGTCCTCGTTGACCCTCCCGGACGCCTCCCCGCCCCAGGCCCCAGCCTAAACAACCTTTGAACTATGCATGGAAATAATTTAGACACAAACCCAAACTCTCCTCGCCTCTCTTCGGTGGAAAGCGCAGGGTTGGGGGGAAACTCCGAATCCTGCCACTGAAGACCCAGGCGCACAGCCTCCTCCCACTGCTGCCTAAGCCTCCAGCTTAGGAGGCACGCTCCGCACTCCAAAGCTTTTCTCTCTTTCTCTTGCAGGGACCGACGTTTAAACTGCGTCGGCGCCTTTATTCGCCTGACCCTGGGCGCGGGGAAACCAGCCTGGTCTGTCATTGTCCTTTCTGGACTGCCCCCACCCCAGCCCCAATCAGTGTCACAAAACGCCCCTTTCAACAGATTCCAAACCCTCTTCACCCCGGCTCACCGAGCCTTCAACTTCATTGAGTGAGCGCCACTGGAGGAGGCGAAGTTTAAATAAACCCGAGCGAGCGCAGAGGGAGAAGGCGGGGGTCGCGGAGGGTTGGTAGCTAAAGGGGAGGGTAGAGGTAGAAGTGTTTTTGAAAAGAGGAAAAAAGTCATCGGGGAGGGAAAGGCGCTTTGTAACCACGAAGACGCGCCTGCTGTGGCGAGAACAAATTGGATAGGGAGGGGAAATGTCCCCCTCCAACTCTGGCTCCGGGGTGGTCTGGGGGAGCCCCTAGAGAAAGAAAGAAAGAAAGATGGGGAGGAATACGCAGTGAAAAGAATTAACCGCTTTAATTGGGTTGCAGCCGACTGACCGGCAGGCTCGCCGATGGGCCTCGATCACTCAAACCAAATACTGGTCGATAAAATAAAATGTCTGCCCTTAGTCGCCGCTGAAAAACGTCTGTCAGAGTTGGAGAACCAAGGCTGTTCTTCACAGCTGTAGAAAGTAAATCTGCAAGAGGGAGAAATTCTGCCCGGAAAGACCCCCCTCCCCCTCCTTATGGCCTCGGGCCTCCCGGCGCCGGATGAAAAGGAATGAAATTGAACGAAATTGAACGAAATGAAGTGAAATTGACCAGTGAAATTCGCCAATTTTCTTCCCCTTTAAACTGCCCGCTCTCAACAGCACTCTCTGAACCTCAGACTGATTTTTTACCTTTTTTTTTCTCTCACCTTGGAGAGATCAAGGTGTGCCCTGGATATTTTCTTATTATTGTCACCAATTGTTGGTGCCTATAGGGCGAGAGACCTCAGCTGCCTCCACCCAAGTAGGGTGGGAAGCCTGGTGAGCCATTCAGATGGGAAGACCTGTTTCACCTCCCAGGACACTGGGCCCCTAATTGAGCCCACACCAGTCAGAGGAACCCACAGATTGGGGAAAGAGTTGAGCACATCCAGACTGCAAGGGCAAGCCAGGAGGGTGCTAGCATACAGATCCCGCAGCGACACCCTTTTTGCCTTCCAGTTCCCAACTCCTCCAGCTTAGCTCTGAACACAACCTAAGGGAGCCAAAATGTCAAATACCTCCCCTTCTCCCTAGCTTTTAGCATCTGGAACCTTCTCCAGGACTACCAGCTGAGCGTGGGTGGTTTCTCTGGACCAAGCTTGGCCTTGTTGATTCATTGGGAAATTAGAGTCTGAGTAGATCGCATCCTTAGGGTCCCAAGAGACCTAGAAAACTCTTATACATCTCATCCTTTTCTGCAAACCCATATTTCTACCGTTGGTACACACAGAAACTAAATAAGAAACACACACATACACACACATGTGCACACATGCCAAGACAGATAACAACTCATTCAGAAGAATCTTCCATTTCCCCTGTGAGTAGCAGCGAGTTATGGCCAAAGCTCACCTACCTATCTACCATACGATATGAATTTTGTCTGATGACCTCTTCGAGACAGAGAAAAATCCAACTGATAAGTCTTTTACTTGAAAGTTTAAAATAATATGTGGAATCTACTATTCCAAACTAATATCAGCATTTAATATTCACAGCAAAAGCAATCGTGAAGTTGAAAAGTGCTTATTTTTGAGCAAACAGACTCTCCAGCATGTGTGCACACACAAACATGACCACTGACTTGTGTCAGTCACACACACACCTCTCCTCAAGTAAAAAGAAACAAAACCAGACTCATCCAATCTGGAGCAATGGAAGTCAGTGGAGCACCCAGCCAGAGACCATTAGCCCAGTGCTGGCATGTATTCCTCACTCCAGACCGCTGAACCTACATTGACTTCTGGACTATTTGGTATAACGGTGGAGGAAAGGTAGACCTCTGCCTTTGATCTCCCCTGATCCCTTAGTCTTTCAGAGATGAGGGAGAGGGACCCTTGGCCTCTGGGCAGAGAAACTATATTGACCACACGCACCTGAGCCTAGTCTCCCCACCTTTGATGAATGGAAACCTACATGCCTCAACAGTCAGTCCGCAGCTCCCCATTGGTATTCTCCCCACTCCCACCGTGCATAATGCAGGGCCTCTGTCTGACACCTGCTGTGACGGACACTACCTGCTGTGACGGACTCTGCCTGTCAGCCTTGGGATGCTAACCAGTTTGGGGTAATTTCTCTTGTCCACACCCTCAAGCTCTTTGCAACTGGGTCTTTAACACGGTCTTCTTCCAGTCCCTATCCCAACTCGTGTCCGTTTTCTGAGGCTGAATAAACTTCCTCTTGCTGTACTTCCATACATGTATCTCTTCTATGATCTCAGAGGATGCACAGAAAAAGGAGTAACCACCTTTGCTCCACCCAAAGCATGGCCCTCACCCCTGCTTTTGCAGATCTGGCTACTGGGAATCCCAAGCACAAGGTACAAGGCAGAGAGCTGCAGTTCCACTGTGCTGTGGATGGTCTTAACCAGAAGATTGGTGCTCAGGCAATCGCTTCTGGCTGTGAATATGGCTCCAGGAACCAAGGCCTTTGCCCTAGCAGAGTGAACCCCCCCACACACACTCACTCTTTAGTTGATCAGATCCTCTAGCCCACTTAAGCTGGGTGAGGGTGAGGTTTCTAATTCAATTTGGAGAGTCCCTAAATAAAGCCTTCCACTGTCAAAAGTGTGTGGGAGTGGGGGTTCTAAAGGCCCTCTAGGGGGCAAAAAGAAATGCTCTCCTATTAAAGACAGACAGTGACTGATAGTCATAGCACATATCATAGACGCACAGAGAAATAACAGCTCAGGCATCCCTGAAATACACAGACGACCAAGACAAACACAGAAACAAACCACCAAGAGCTCCATAAAAGGTCCCTGCACACACAGAAGCACAGATGCACACAAAATACTCGTCAGGAGACACAGCCTTGTTCTCGGTGGCCACTCCAGTACTTAGCTCTCCAACCTGATCAGGCCACACTCAAATCTAAACTAGAAGAAGGCTAAGATTCCTCCGGTGGTAGAAACAGAATCCCTCTGCCCAGCCTCGGGCTTTTGTCCTTCCTTGTGCCAGAGTGAAAACGAAAGTGCTGGAGTGGTCACAGGCTTCCAGAGACCTGGTCCCTTTAGAAGCAGAAGGCCACAGCGGTGTGCAGAGCCTCCCTCCGCCGTCTGACTAGCCCAAAGCTTCGTTTGCTGGTCTAACTCCCTCTCCCTCTGCTGGGGAGACTGAGGTCTTCTGCGAGAGCTCAGACAAGGACAAGGGAGTGCAGGCAAGCAGGGTGAGCTGGAGACTGCTAAGTTCACATACATTTATTCAATTGACACCAAGGAAAATGGAGGAGACAGTTTTCGTTTCTTCCACACAGACCATCAGACGATTTCACAGAGTCTCTCCACTAAGTGGAGAAGTCTAAATCAATGCACACCAGTGGACAGAGAATGCAGGGGGCGGCCCACTGTACAGATATTTACACATAACTCTAGGACCCCCTGCCATAGCTCTGTGCCCTTGCCCACCCAATTCCCACCTCTCCAGACCCTCTTCTCCCACCCAAATTCATTGCCTTTAACTACAATAAATATCACAGGGTCTGGGGCAGAGCAGACGGCCAAGTGGGCTGCTAGCCCTGGATTGCTGGACCTATGGACCATGGGAAAGGCCAGAGGGAGCTCCTTAAAAAGCAACCAAACACCAGAGGGGGAAAAAACCATTTTCTTCGGGGGCAGGGGAATGGACTCTGCGGCTTACTCGAGGATTGTGGAGACACCCTCCCCCCGCCCCGTTTCACTTTTCCTCTTAGCTTCCCGACTGTGTAGATACTGCCTTATGCTTGGAGAAAACCCGCTTCCTTGAAGAACAGCGAAAGGAACAAAAAAAATTGAATTTTTCTCTTAAGCCCAAGCAGATAACAGAAGTCTTTAAATTATAATATTGGATGATAAGCAGGGTCTCAAAGTTGAGGAAGGAATGAGGGGCAGGGGACTTTTCAAGCCATAGGTGTTTCTGGCGGGATCCACAGACCAACAGGCGTATCTCTGCCAAGCCTTCTTCTCCGACTGTGAGAGACGCAAAGGCGAGGAAAAGCGAAGGTTCCTGCTCCCTTATTTTGCTGCTCCAACATAAAAGGGATCTCCGCTTCCAGCCTATTGCTTAGACCCGAACCTCGCCCAGAGCCGATGAGCCCGCTTCGTCCCAACTGTCCGTGACATTCTGAGCGTGGAGCTTGATGTGCCCGATCACGCGCGCCGGCCTAGGTCTGGAGACTCTTCATAAATAGACTCCCTGAATTCCGCTGGGACCCGCCGAGCTCCCCAGAGAGGTTAAGGAGTGAGGGCCTAACTGACCCCGAGCCCGCTGCGGTCAAAAGTGGCAGCCACTGAGGCCGGCGACTTTGCTGGCAAACGAGGACCCTGAAGACAGGAGCGCGTCCCCCGGGTGAGAGAGGCGGATATGGCCCGCCACAGGAGCCAGGGCCGGGGCAGTTAGCATGGCCAAGACTTGGGCTTGACTCCCAGGACCCGCGGCTGCCGTGAATGGTGATCCCGGGGAACCGTCACCGCTGCCCGGTGGAGCGGCACCGCCACCACCGTGGCCCATGATGTGGTCTATAGAGAAGGAAGGCCTCTGGCCTGCCCCTGCACCCCCGCCACCCGCACCACCGCTGGCGTCAGTCTTGAGGCCCTGGCGCAGGAGTGCAGTGGACAGGCTGGCTGCTGTACCAGCTGCGGGAGGACTCAGGGACGCGGGGTAGAAAGCCTTGGCGCAGCCCAGCTCTGCGCCTAGGAAGGCTGGCAGCCCTGCATGGCCTGGGCCAGGTCCCGGGGCAGGAGCAGGGGCCGGCGCCGAAGCCGTGCCGGCGAACACCGAGGCCGTCGGAGGTCCGGGTGGAGGAGCAGCGGCGCGGCCCGGGGGAACTGACAGCTGGCAAGGCGCGGTGGCAGCAAAGGCGAAGGCGTGCGGGTGTGGATGCGGGTGTGGGGCCGGCCCCGGTGGGGGTGCGCCGTAGGCTGGGAGTGCCAGCCCGTAGCCATAGCCGTAGGCGCCATAAGCGGCGAAACCCGGGAGGAAGGCGCCAGGGTCCCCGGCCGCGGCAGCCCCGCCACGCAGTAGCAGCTCCGTGTGAGGATGCTGGTGTGGATGCGGCGGCGGCAGCGGCTGCCGCTTGAAGCGCTTGCGGCGCCTCAGGAAGCTGCCGTTGTCGAACATGTCGGCCGACTCCGGGTCGAGTGTCCAGTAGTTGCCCTTGCCCGGGTTGCCTGGCTCGCGGGGGATCTTAACGAAGCAGTCGTTGAGGGAGAGGTTGTGGCGGATGCTGTTCTGCCAAGCAGGGAACTTCTCCCGGTAGTAGGGGAAGCGGCCGCTGATGAACTCGCAGATCTCGCTCAGCGTCAGGCGTTTCTTGGGGCTCTGCAGGATGGCCATAGTGATGAGCGCGATGTACGAATACGGTGGTTTCACTAACGGGCTCCGCGACGCCGCGCCCCCCGACGGCGGCCCGGGTCCCGGCCCTGGCCCCGCTGCGCCCCGAGCTGCCTGCACACCGGGCCCCGGGCTTCCCGCTGCAGCCGCCGCCCCCCGGGGCGCTAGAGCGCGGGGCTCGCAGTCCGAACAACCTCCCGACTCCTCTTCGTCCTCGGCTACGTCCGCCTCGGCTTCCTCCGGGGGAGGCTCGTGGCCGTGCGGGAGCACGTCCCGGGGGGCGCGGGGCCCGGAGCGGGCTGTGAGCTCCCCCCCACCGCTGCCGCCGCCCACCACGTCTATGTCTGCGTCGGGCTCGGACAGCGCGGCCGGGGAGCTCTCGGAGGACATGATCTCGCAACAGCAGCTGCCCAGGGTCATGGTGCCGCCGCCGCCGCCGCCGTCGCCGCTCTCCGGCTCCGCTCGGGCCGCGGCTCCCGCTCCGCCGCGCTGCCTCTCGGACTAGTGTGTTTTGCGCGCGGGCGGGGAGGGGGGGAGGACCGAGGCGGACAGGGAGGGGTGCCCCCCCCGCAGCTCCTCAGCGCCCTCTGGTGTTGAGACTTTACGACTCTCACCCTGCAGGGCGCACCCAACCGGTGCTGCCCCGGGACCAGTAAGCAGAGCACAGGAGGAAAAAGATGATGCCACCCGTTACCCAGTCGAATCTTGGCCCCTGGGCCCCTAGAGACAGAAGTGGGACTTCGGGAGATTAGTCCCTCCCGCCTGGTGGCCGCCTAAGGCGGAAGAACCGTGGGCCCGGGGCGGAGCTCCCTGGGCAGGGTGGGGCGGGGAGGAAGGGGGCGGGCAGAGGTCCTCCGCACCCCGGCCCGGCGGGAACAAACTGCCGCGGTGGCGGGAGCTAGGTTCGCGTGGCTGGAGGCGGGTCATCCTTCTCTTCGCAGCTCCCGCAAACCCATGGTCCCCTGGAGCCACAGTCTTCAGTGCTCTCAGCCGCTGGGAGTCAAGGCTAGACACTGGCGCAGCTGCTGCTAGTGGCCGCGGCTACGGACCTCCTCCCCTCATCTCCCCAAGGCGTCACCCAGGCCACCCGAGTAGAAGCGCCGTCGGATCGCGAGTGAGCCAAGGCGGACAAGGACCCCCTAGAGTTCCAGGAGTTTCCAGCAGGCTGGATGGGAGAGTGATCCGGAGGAGCAGACTTGGCGCCGGAAGATTCGACTCAGAGAGGTGAGAAATTTCTGCTGCGGTCTTGTCTTTCCCCTCCGAGGCCTCACCCCTACCACTATGCCAGGAAAGACCCAAGGAGAGCACCGCCTGCTCCGGCTCCCCTTAGTGACTGGTCTCCGCGGTCGCCGCATTCTCCGCACGCCTATAGTCCTTAGCTCGGGTTTACCTAGTGCTGTTTTCTGTCCCACCATCTCAATCTCTGTAATCGTCTCTCTTGACCCCTGTGAATCTGTCTGTATTTCCTGCGGAAACTGTGTTTGCCTAGATGTTTGTTTCTGAGTCTGACAATCCCGCTCATAATTTCTGGATTTAGGTCTTACAACAGAGCTCCCACAGAGACCTCCCCCGGTTGAAATTTAACCTCAGCCCTGGGCTAGTGTTGCCTTTTTATCTGTGGACCTTTTGCACAGAAAGTTGGTCCATGGTGCTCTTTCCACCAGCCGGATTCCTGCCCATTTTGTTAGGCCCCTCTTCCCTATTCTCCCTCTAGGACCCAGAAACAAGTCGCCCCAGTTTATAGTGAGCCCACTTCAACCTCCTGGGGCTGGAAGGGTTTGGATGAGGTGAGGCTTAGAACTGGGCAGTGTACTGACTGTTCCCAACAGCGCCTCGCAGTGGCCAAGGCGGCGGAGGCTTCAGTCCCTACGGCGCCCCATAGTCCAAAGCCTCTGTGATCCTCATTAGGTAACTTCAGTTCGGAGTCCAACTTTCCTGGTTTGCAGCGCAGATAATAGCAGGGCCAGAGGAGTTAAACTGCTGGGATTCCAATTTTGGCTTCGCCAGTTACCCTCGTATCACCTGGCTAATTTTATTAACTTTTTTTTTGCCTGTCTCTTCCTCGAAAATAAAATTTAGAACACCTACCTCAAGCCTGACTTGGTGGTAACCCATTCCATGGGTAACTCCAGTGCTCAGAATGCTGAGGCAGGAGGTTTGCTTCAAGTTCCAGGCCATTGGTACAGAATGAGACCCTGTCCCAGAATTAAGTAAATAAATAAAATAAGCTGAATTTACCTTGTAAGCAGTACATAAAAGCAGTCACTATAAACCACTGATTATGTAGGTTCTAGGTGCCCTATTCTCTGGGAGAGAAGGGTGTCAGAGAAAATTTGGTCTCCCATCTGGTTCTCAAGTCCTGGTCAAGATGGGGGGGGCTATTTATTAATACTACAGTAACATCTCCAGACATTGTGCTGAACTCTCTCTCTCTCTGTCTCTCTCTCTCTCTCACACACACAGACACACACACACACACACACACAGAGAGAGAGAGAGAGAGAGAGAGAAAGAGAGAGAGAGAGAATAAGCTAGGCTGAATGCAAGAAAACACACGTAAGAATGGAAGAATCCCTTTATCTAAGAGCAACCTGCATCGATGAAGGCAGGGATAGCTTCTTAACTTTTGAGAACAAATTCTCCAAGCCCCTCTGGGACCTCTGACCAAGTGGACCCACTTAGTGTGCTGGATTTGCATAAACAAAGAGTCTCTGGGAAGCAGAATATGTCCAGCCCTCAAAGCAGGGACAGTAAATTGAACAAGAGACTGGTGGCCCTGGAATTGGAATGTTCTGGCAACCACACACATACTTCAAGTTTGCTCCCTCCCTCCCTCAGGAACCCACTCAGATATTCTACACCACTAACCACATCCTTACTCCTACCCAGCCATATTCATCTCTACCCTGGGATACCCAGCTAGTGTCCACTAAAGAGAGGGAAACCCCCCTGTTGACTAGTCGGTTTCACCTTCACTTCAGAAATGGCAAACCCATAATAACCTCCCATGTTGCAGGGGTTTTCTGATTTTTCAGAGCCGAGCTACATGTTCGGCCTCAGGGTGGTGCCGGCTAAAGCGTTTGTTACCCAGATCTCCTTTAAAAGACTTCATGCACGACACCACCAGCTCTGGCTGCCAGCCACCGCATCCTGGCCCTTCCTTCCACTGAGAATGAAGCTCAAGCTGGGAGAAAGCAGCCAAGAACCTCCCAGCTTCTGTTCTGCTGGGCAGTAGTGGGGCACCACCTTAAATCACCCAAACTTCACCAACACTTTAACAGTAGTGGAAAGAAATGGCCCCAACGGGATGAGATTTGGCAGGTTTTTGAGGTACTCTACCTTACAGCCCACCCATCCCAGAACTCGTCTACTAATCCAGACAGCTGCTTTTCAGACCTTGCCCCTTGCCTAGCGAGACGTTTCTGTGGCTCTTTTACCCCTTTTAAGGCTCTAGACCAGGTTGTTTTAAACACTGCCCAAAGCAGAGCCGCCACAGACTGGGAGAAGCACTGCCCTAGGATTCCGTGGCCCCTGCCTTTGCCACCTTCAGACTCAGCCTGTCACCAAGGGGTGCCTTCACCCTATGGGAGTTTGTTGTTCTCTGGGCAAATATCTGTGCCTGGTCTGTGAAGCCTGGACTCCCATGCCTAGGACAACCCCAAAGGAGCAGGAAGCATGGGAGGGAGCGGGTCTTGATTACATCTTTCTAGTTAAGCCCCAGAAACCTCCACCTGCCTCACGGCCTAGCACCTAGCGGCCCAGCTTGAGCCGCCTGGTCTTTCATTCCAAAATGCTTTTTAAAACCGGCTGGGAGTTGTGTTCGTTATGAAGCATGTGTTGCTCCCACTGGCTTCTAAGCAGTCTCTCTCTCCAGTCTCTCTCAAGGTCCCTACAGAGAAGCCATTCTCCGTGGATCCCAGAGAGGAGCGCTCTCCCAAGATTGTATGGATATAATTAAGTCAATGACGAAACTGCTAAAACACTGAGCAGCTGACGGGGAGTTTGTCCCCACTCTAGGGCAGTATATAGCCTGCAGTTTTCGCATCTGGAGCTCTAAGAGTGAGTGCCCTGGCCTGCCCCAGCCACTGCTAGGCTGTGGAAAGAGGCTGAAGCTGCCCAGAGCGTGTCCTCGCACTTGTACACACTTACTTACCAACCAGTCCACCTCCCAAAGCCAACAGCCACAGCCCTGTTCTGAGAGCGAGACGATTGTTCAGCTAGAAATCCCAGCTCTAAGCCTGCTTTGGAATCTAAATTTCCCTTAGCTGGATTTGGAGGCAGAGACTCCAGATCCTGTGACTACAGAGACGGACTTAAGGAGGCTGGGGACCCTAGACATAAAGCTGACAGATGGCTGGTCTCCAGTGTATGCACAATGATTTCAGCAGTCCAGCAGCCCAACTCCAGGTGCCTCTGCTCTATCCCACAGCTCAGGGTAACAAAGTCACCGTCTTCCTCTGGTTCCATTACTCCTGGCCAAGATCCCCTCTGAGCCATCTATTCTCAGACAAAGTAGTGAGAGGCTTGCTTATAGCTCCTTTAACTTACTCTGCTGCAGTGGTTGAGACCAGGGCAAGCTATGAATCCTGTAGATTCCGGTTCGTGGGAAGAGGGTTGCAGGATCGAGAGGGTGAAAACAGCGCCACCCCCAAACCGCTGAGCTGAGATGTCCGCTCAACTTACTGAAGAGCTCAAGGCTACTGGATTATATAGAGAGAACTGGGTTGCGGTGGGGTCAGTAAATGGTGACACTTCCAGGTGTGCTGGAGTGGATGCCGCGGGTCTACACCTTCCCTGGTGGATTTTATGGGCCCTAGGTCTGAGGGTCCGGGTATGTGTCTTTTCCCTCATCGAATTTGCTCAGTGTGATCAATAACACCCCAGAGCGGCCGGCGCTGGTCCCCTTGGAGACTTCCACTGCCGACCCCACACGATGTTCAGGGCCAGAGTGACCTGAGACTTCCCTGGAAGACTGGATGTTTAAGCTTACAGCGTTTCTCTACAATCTGACGAGCAGAGACTAGGTCTGGGACTAGCTGCTCGACGTCGGAGGAGGAAAGGGCTGTGTGCTAGCTTGCAGATCTAGAGAGGAGCGATAGGAATCTGGGAGATGCAGAGTGCGGAAAGCTACAGCTACCACAGAGCCGGGTGAGCACCGGCCGCGATTTCCTTCTTACCAATTACTTTAACAGCGGAACTCCGGAATGGAACGCTCTTCCAGCGTCATAAATTGGGGTAAAGCAGAAGGGAACTGTGCCTAACCTTGGGAACTCGGTTACATTTCACCTTCGCGAGTGATTGGTGAAGTGGTAGGTCCTCGCATAGACAGGAAAACACTACAGAACTCCCAGGCTTGGGAGGTGTTGGCGGAGCCTCTTAAACCCAGAGGAAGGTGAATGAGGGACCAGGCAGAGTCCCGGCCTAGCTGCTCAGCCGCTATGATGGATTCCTGGGGAACAGCGACCTCTGGAGGAGCGTCGCTTCCACTCAAAGTCAGGAACTGCTCTCCAGTTTGATACCAAATCGCCATCTTCCCATTCCACCCCTATTCACTTCTTTGGCATTCACCCAGAAACTTGGAATGGCTGAACTCACTTTGGCGGCCTTTCCCAACCTATCGGCATACTTCAAATCCCTCCGAAATCTCCTGAGAGAAGCCCATCCTACCCTTTTCCTGCTCTGAGCTCTTCAAAACCTAACTGCCTGGACCCTCAAGGCCAGCTCAGCTCACCACTGCGGAGTCCACCTGCTATCGCCCCACCCATTTTCAAAGAGACCGTTAATCTCTCCACACCCACCCCTTGCGTGCCATGCGAAGTGTGCTCCCCCCTCCCGCCCACCCCACCCCACCCTACCCCCATCTTGGTAAAGGAAAGCTGAAGTCTAAAGCTAGACAGTGAAGTTTTTTTTAAACTTGTCAATGTGTTTATTATTGTGAGGTAACATACTTATTAAAGAAAAAAATAATACTAGAAAATAATTGCATATACCAAAAGTAATATGGTGTTTCAGAGGTGAAGGGAGCAGCTGAGTTCATTTCTCTGCGGGTAGAAACCCCATGGTGAGATTTTAAAGACAGTGATCTTGCTGGCTTCTAAGGACCTGTATCCACAATGCATTTAAAGACAGGTCGTTTGCACCAGATCTCTTGTGGGCCTGTGAGTTCTGCTAATAATAAAATCCGGCATCCTCGGCAATTTTTGGTGGGTCCTGCCCTGGTGG